CAGCCTCCAGGGCGGCAGGTGTGCGCTCCCGGTTCCAGGGACAATTGCTCGCAGAGCAGCAGCCCGCCCGGACGCTTCCTCCTGCGAGGCGGCTCCCCGATGTGTGGCCATGGACACTGTCCGGTTCCCTGGCCCCCCCGGCGCCCGCGCTGTCGGGAGGAGGCGCTGCAGTCCTTTTCCAGCCCCTTCCCCACCTGGACCCGCAGCTCGTCCTTAGGAAGGTCCTCTGGAGGCCGTGCTGACCGCCTGCTCCCGGCTCCTTGCGTCCCCAGTGGCCGATGGGCAAGTGGACACTGTCCCCCGGACTCTCTGGGTGCAGGGTGAAGAGTAAGCGCAGCCCTGGCCAGTGCTCAATGGTTAGAGCGCCAGCCCTCAGCCCAAAGGGTCATAGGTCCGCTTACCAGTCACAGGCACGGCCTCAGCTTCAGGTTCAATCCCCAGCCCCAGTTGGCAGGGGTGGTGCCTCCTCCCAGGAGCCGCCTGGGAGCCTGGGCCCGTGCCGCCACCGCTGCCCACTCTCAGACAGTCGTGTCTGCATGGACCTGAGCGCGGTCCGGCGTGCGTCCAGCATGTGTGGGCTGGCACGCTTCGGACTCAGTCATTTTGGCTTATTTTGTAAAATCTAAGATAAAGGCTTTATCATCAACATCTTGACGCGCTAGGAGGGGAATCAGCTGTGGGAAGCGACTGGCTCCTTAACAGAAATCAGGTCGACGTCTGTGGACACGCTCCGCCAGGAGGAGCTGCCCTTGGGGGGCAGGAGTGGGTCTGACTGCATGCCCGCTGCCCCGTTTGGGGCTCCCCTGAGCCCTGGCAGCAGGCTGAGGACAGGCTCTGGGAGGGGCCCCAGCACAGGGACAGGACCCCGGGCCAGGCAGGGCGTGCAGTGGCCCCTCCTCCCTGGCCAGGGTTCACCCCTGCGCCCCGTTCATGTCTCTACGTCTGTCTCATCCAAAACCGCCAGGTGCCCCAGCTTCCAGCACCTTCTGCACAGTGTCCCCGCTCTGGGCCAGACTCTCAGGCGGCTGCCCCGCCCATCACGGAAAATGCCCAGCCGTGTCCTCGTGCCTCCGTGTCCCCTGTCGCCAGTGTGACGATTGCTGTGGGCCCAGCGCCCTCGGGCCAGTCTAGGCGGTGTGCTGTGTCTTTCCCGCGAAGCCACACAGGGCATGAGAGGCAGCCTTTCTGGTTTTGGGGGGGCGGGCTGAGTGAGGGCCACTGACACACCCTAAGGAGGGTGCCCCACAGCCCAGCCTTCCTGCTCCATCCCCCCTCCTATGCTGTGTGGGGGCCTCGGGCCTTCATGCCACCCCTCCCTCCTGCTGCTGCCGCCTCGTGTGGGGAGAGGTTCTGGAAGGACACACAGGTGGTACCATTGTCGTGCACACACACACACACACATGTGCACACACACGCATACACATACACACGCATGCACATGGATCTGTGTAGAAAGCGCATTGGCTGTATAACTTACTAAGTGCATGGGTCTGTCCCAGGCACATGTAAAACTACGTGCAGACGAAACCGCTCCTTAGGGACAAGCGGGGACTCGAAGACTTAATGGCAGCACCGAGGCCTCAGCTGGAGCTGACCGGCTCCCGCTCCTGCTGCCGGGAGCTGCCCTCCAAGTCTCGAGCTGTGGCTGCACTTTAACAAGCGGGTCGATGCACTGACAACCCGAGCTGGGCCCTGCCGACCCTCATCCCTCTGCCAGGAGCCACAGGGCAGCATCCGACAGCAGGCCCAGGTACAGCCCCGCCTGAGAGGGGCCGCCGGCCGGGAGGCACGGGGACGCAGACCTCACAGTGTGGGGCCCAGAGTGCGCGGGACACACAGCCTCTCCTCGTGCCCAGCGCCAGGAGTCACGGCCGAGAGCCAGGACAGCCGTCACTGGCACCGTTACCCGACCAGGATGCTAGAGCCGGTGTAAATGGCTTCAGTAAAGTATGTATCCTTGTCAACAAATGAAAGAGTGTAACCCTCAACAAAAGAAAAGAAAAAAGTGTTTTTCAAGGATCAAACAAAGTGCAGACCTGGACGGTACAGTGACCGGGGCAGGAAGCGCTGGCTGGCTCAGCAGCAGGTCCCAGGGCAGAGGCGTGACTCAGGCAGGTCAGGAGCAGTCACTGTCGGAGGGGAGGCCGACCGGGAAGGAGCAGCGAGGACGGAGCCGCAGGTCCTGGGGGACAGCCAGGTGGCCTTCCAGGTGGAGTCCCAATGGGAGAGGGGAGGTGGGCGGGCACACACCCCGATGGGCGGCGGGCACACCCCAGGAGCCGAGTGTGGGTGAGCCCGCCCTAGAAAACCACCCATGGCCCCTGCCAGTTAGTCCCTGAGTCAGAGACACAGAGAGCATCTGACAGGAGCGAGGGAGCAGCGCAAGTGACAGCGACCACGGCTCATCCGCAACCAGGAGGCCGGGATGCCGCGCACACACCAGGTTCCGAGAGTGGGGAGCTGTCAGCAGCGGGCGAGGAAGTGTCCTTCGGGGATGGAGGGACGTCGTGCTGTCAGATCAAGGAAACCACGACCGTTTGTCACCGGCAGAGCCAAGCGCAGGGCTGAGGAGCTGGCCCAGGGGAGGGCCGGCCTTTCCCATGGAGAGCCATTGGGGCCGACAGGACAGTGGGTGACGGCTCCTCACCTGGGCTCACTGGCTTAGCACCTGTGAGGTCGAGGACGTGCTCCGTGCACAGAGGAAGCGCAGGGCCTGCGGGGACCGCCCGCCTGCTGAGGACTCTGCTGGCTGTGGGCGCTGTGCCTGGAGCGGCTGTGACATGGAGCCGGCTGCGTGGCTTCAGCGCCCACACTCGGGGAGGGCCGGGCGCCACTCTGAGGCCACGCATAAGCCTGTGTGGAGCTTAGGGAGGTGGGTGGGGTGAGAACGAGAGGTTTGGGTTCCTCTGTGTCCTCCGTGTCAGCACTGGGTGTGCCCAGCCTTGTCTTGGCATCACCTATTTCCCGTGGCTGCCGATGCTGGACTCTGCTGGCGGCTCGGTCCTCTGCGGCCGTTCAGATCTGTCACCAGCTCCTTCTTTTTGACTTTGGCAAGTTCTTTATGTTCTTGGCATTTCCATTTGCCAGTCTGGTCAGCGCATATTGGCCCTCAGTCCCTAGCTTGTCTTTTCCTCTTATCAGTGTCTTTAATACAACAGAAGTTCCTAATTTTGGTAAAGTCCAATTAATCACTTCAGTGGAACACCTGTTTTTTAGATGCCGACTCTGAAAACTCCTGGCCTGACCCTAAGTTTCAAAGATTTTCACTTATGTTTTTTTCTGAACGTTTTATAGTTTCACATTTTACATTTAAGTCTCTAATCCAACAAGAAGAAGAAATAAAAGGCATTCAAATTGGAAAGGAGGAAGTAAAACTCTCATTATTCACATGATATTGTACATAGAAAACCCTAAAGACTCCACCAAAAAACCTACTAGATTTAAGAAATGAATTTGGCAATGTAGCAGGATACAAAATCAACACCCAAAAATCAGTGGCTTTTTTATACACCAATAATGAATTCTCAGAAAGAGAAACTAAACAAACAGTCCCATTTACCATTGCAACAAAAAAATTAAGTTAGGAATGAACTTAACCAAGGAGGCAAAAGACTTGTACTCAGAAAACTACAGGTCGTTGAAAAAAGAGATAGAAGAAGATCTACACAAGTGGAAGAATATCCCGTGTTCATGGATTGGTAGAATCAACATTGTTAAAATGTCCATACTACCCAAGGCAATCGACAGATTCGATGCAATCCCTATTAAAATATCAACAGCATATTTCACAGACCTAGAACAAATACTCCAAAAATTTATACGGAATCAAAAAAATCCTGAATAGCTGCAGCAATTTTGAGAAAGAAGAATCTCTTACCCTTGAGACGGCAGGGAGGGGCCTGGAGAGCATCGCACTCAGTGAAGTCAGTCAATCAGAGAAAGACACGTGTCACATGACCTCACTCACATGTGGAATCCAGTTAACAAAACAAACTGATGAACAGAGTGGCTGCAGAGACATGGAAGCAGGGAACAGAGTGCGGAATCTCAGAGGGAAGGCGGGGGTGGGGGTGGGATGGGAAGTGATCAACCAAAGACTTTGTATGTGTATATGCATCACCCATGGACACAGACAATAGGGTGGTGAAGGCCTGGGGGAGAGGGAGCGGCAGGGGCGGGCTGGAGGGGGAAAAAGGGGGACATATGTAATCTTTTCAACAATAAAGAATTACTAAAAAAGTAATAAATCTCAAATCCACGTTTAGGTACGTTTTGTGTGAGATGAGAGGTTTAGGTCAAGGTCTATGTTGTTTTATTTTTCGCCTGAAGGTGTTGGGTGCCTCAGCACCAGGTGGGTAAAGGCTGTGTCCTCCCTGACCCCGTGCCCTCGTCACAGTGAGTCGCCGTGTTCCTGTTCCGGGCTCTGATTGGCTGTCCTGACCAGGGCTCATCCCCTCACCACTGTCTCCATCCCTGCAGCCTGTGATCAGTTCCAGGACCCATCGGTGTGATTCCTCCGGTTCCATTCCTGCTCCTCAGGCTGCTCGCCGTGCTCCTCCTCCTGGCTCCCTGTGAATGTTGGCTCAGCGCGGGGTGCCGGCTGTGGTGACCTGGGCGCCGTCGGGAGGAGCTGCATCCCTGGGGTCCCACTCCACACACGTGACCCTCCCTTGCTCAGGCCTGATTTCTCCTCGGCGTTTCACACAGGCACGGGCCCTGCTGTTTGGGCAGATTCATCCCTCAGTGTGTCATCTTGTATCCACTGTAAGGATGCTTCGTTGTGGTTTATACTGTTGCACCTGATCATTATTTAGAAGGGAGTGGAGGAATCACAGCACCAGATTTCAGCTATACTGCAAAGCACCGTACTCACAACAGCCTGGTACTGCACAAGAACAGGCACATAGATCAATGGAGCAGAACAGAGACCCCAGAAATGGACCCAAGCCATTATGCTCAATTAATATTTGACAAAGGAGGCAAGAGCATACAATGGAGTCAAGACAGTCTCTTCAATAAATGGTGTTGGGAAAATTGGAGAGATACATGCAAAAAAATGAAACTAGATCACCAACTTACACCATCCATAAGAATAAACTCAAAATGCATAAAAGACTTAAATGTAAGTCATGAAACCATAAAAATCCTAGAAGAAACCATAGGCAGCAAAATCTCAGACATCTCTCGTAGCAATATGTTTACAGATACATCTCCCAGGGCAAAGGGAACTAAGGAGAAGATAAACAAATGGGACCACATCAAAATAAAACGCTTCTGCACAGCAAAAGAAACCATCAGCAAAATGAAAAGGGAGCCCACCGTATGGGAGAACATACTTGGCAATGATACATCTGATAAAGGGTTAATATCCAGAATATATAAGGAACTCATACAACTTAACAAAAGGAAGACAGAAAAAGGACCTAAATAGACACTTTTCCAAAGAGAACATACTAAAGCCAAGAGACATGAAAAAAATGCTCGAAGTCACTGATCATCTGAGAGATGCAAATCAAAATGACAATGCGGTACCATCTCACACCTGTCAGACTGGCTGTCATCCACAAATCAACAAATGACAAGTGCTGGCGAGGATGTGGAGAAAGGAACCCTCGTTCACTGCTGGTGGGAATGCAGACTGTGCAGCCACTGTGGAGAACAGTATGGAGTTTCCTCCAAAAATTAAATATGGAATTGCCATTTGACCCAGTGATCCCAATTCTAGGCTTATAGCCTAAGAACCCTGAAACACCGATCAGAAAGGATGTATGCACCCCTGTGTTCACAGCAGCACAATTTACAATCGCGAAGATCTGGGAGCAGCCCAAGTGCAGGCCCTGTCGCTTGTCAGAGTCATCCCTCAGGGTGTCTTGCACCCACCGTAAGGCTGCTTCATTGTGGTTCACTATTGCACCTCATCATTACATAGAAGGGATTTGGTTTTTCATTTTTTTTATTTGTTTTCTTAAAATATATTTTTATTGACTTCAAAGAGGGAGAGGGAAAGGAAGAGAGAAACATCAATGATGAGAGAGAATCATTGATCGGCTGCCTCCTGCACGCCCCACACTGGGGATGGAGCCTGCAACCCGGGCACGTGCCCTGACCAGGAATCGAACTGTGACCTCCTGGTTCATAGGTCGACGCTTAACCACTGAGCCACACCGGCCGGGCAGGAATTGGTTTTTTCAGTTGTTCACCTTGTATCCTGCAACGTTACCCAGTTTTCTGAGGGTTTTTAGTCTTTATTTTTGGTTGATTCCTTGCAGTTTTCCAAGTAGATACTCTGTTGTCTATAAACTTGGTCAGGCTTATGTTTTGTTCTCCAAGGGGGGCGCCCTGCGCTGGTGATGACCTCGGCGTGGGATGCAGGGGCGGGGCGGGCTCGGCCAGGCGCCTGGTGGGGGCCACGAGGGCGTCCCCCTGAGCGTGATGCTTGTGGGAGGTGTGCTGGGCAGCTGGGTCGCCATGTACAGGTTCCCATCTCCTCTCCTTGATCATGAACACAGGTTGGATTTTCTCAGGTCCTGCTTTTCCTTGACTTGAGTGATAGGTCCTGTGTTTTCCCTTTAGACTTGCCGTACGGTCAGCGACGGTGGTGTATTTGTCGGAGCTGAATAGCTGACAACCCGAGGTAAACCCTCCTGGGGTGATGTATTGTTCTTCGTGTGTATCAGGGACTCAGCGGCCGATGTCTTGTTGTTGACTCTGCCATGTTCGCGAGGATGTCGGCCCGCGGTTCTCCGTTATCGCGCTGCCTTGTCTGGTTCCTGTCAGCGTCGTGCGGCCTCCCGGGGACTCGGAGCGTCCCTCTCCCTCCGTGTCCTGGGAGCTCGGCTGTGAGGAGCAGCTGCAGTGGGGCTGGGCTGTGCGCTCCCCCTGCACGTGGGTCACACCCTCTGGGGGCAGGTCTGACGGCTCTGCAGCCGCCCGTGTCTGGTCCTGACGCAGCCCCTGCTCAGAGCAGAACGGTGGTGACTCCAGAAAAGCTGCAGACGTGGTGCAGAGCTCCCTGCACTTCGTCTTCCCTCTCTCGGGTTCACGCCTCACGGGACGGGCACCCCTGGCATTGGGTGTCTGAGTCCCCTGCAGGCTCGCTTGTTCACCCGGCACGGCCGGCCCAGGGCACCAGGGGTCCCTGTGCCTCGTCTCTGCGTCCGGTGCCCTGTGCCCCTCAGTCTGTCTCCCGACACCATAGCGCTGGCCCGTCTGCCGGCCTGCTGTCTCCTGCGACACCGAGGGTCTGGGGGGCAGAGGCGACCCCGTGTGAGTGCCTTCTTGTCACACCAGACCCCCAGGTCCCTCCTCGGTCCGTCTCCTGCGTCTCACATTTTACTGTCAGCAGCGGGGCCAGCGCTCTTCAGCACCTGCTCAGCCTCCTCGGCACATAGGCGTCGGCCGCGCCCGAGCACAGCCAGCCACGTCCGCCACCATGCGGTCCCAGCCGCCCCCTCCCGTTTCCAGAAACACACTCTTCCCTCTGAGCCCCGCCTCCCAGAGCCCTTGCCTCCTGTTCCCAGCACGCCTGGGCCCCACCCTCAGGACCTCGCCGAACGGTTACCTTCCAAACGCCGCACCGGACCGCACCTGAGTCAGGGCTTCAGCCCAGGGCGAGGGGCAGACATGCGGTCCCCACAGGACCCTCCTGTGAGGGCCCGAGCTGGGGTCACCTCCCATGCCCCGTCCCTGCTGAGGACGTCAACGTCGTTTAAGGCCGTGGCCACCAGTGTCTGCAGTGAGCCCGCCTTGCTCGGTGCGGGACACACAGGGCGGACGAGAGGACGGAGGCACCAGGGTGACAGCGTGGCATGGCCGAGCTCTGAGTGCGGGCAGCCCGCAGGCGTGGGGGAGTGAGAAGGGGGGGGATCCAGGACCCTTGGAAGATGGGCCTGCACTGCCTCGCTCCAGCCCCAGGCCGCTCCCACGGCACCTGTCCCCCAGTCGCTCTTCTCTCAGGGTCCCGCTTGTAGCATGTTCCTTACAGATGCTTTAGGCAAGAGAGCACCCCCTCTTCCAGCGGATTTCTACACACACGTGCACACATTCACGTGCACATACACTCACACGCAGTCTCTCACAGCACACTCACATGTGCACGCACACTCGTGTACACACACACACACACAACCTCTCACAGCACACTCACTCACGTGTGCGCACATTCACGTGCACATACACTCACATGCAGCCTCTCACAGCACACTCACATGTGCACGCACACTCGTGTACACACACACACAACCTCTCACAGCACACTCACTCATGTGTGCGTACATTCACGTGCACATACACTCACATGCACGTGTAATCATACATGTGTGCACATACGCACTCACTTTGCATATGTGCGCGCACATGCACATCCATACACTTGTACATGTGTTCAGGCACATGTGAGCATACACGCTCACATGCAAGCATGTGTGCGCACATGCACACTCACACATGCGCGTGCGCTCTCTTTTAGCCGTTCTCTTCCCCTCCCCTTCGACCAGGTACCAGGTGCCTGAGGAGGAGGACAGGCAGGAATGCCCCTGTGTGAGATGCGCGGACGGGGTGGTTCGCCGGGTTTGCTCGCACAGCAGGGCGGACTGTGCTGTTTTATTAAACGTCTGCAGCCGACAGACGTTGATTTGAATCCAGCCCTCGAGGACATTCACTCACGAGTCTTCAGAATCCGAATGCCCTGTTTTCCAAAGGGCCTCAGAGGCACAGCGTGCCCGAGAGAGGGGGCCTCCTGGAGGGGACCCCACCCGCACGGGCGCCTCTGCTGGTCTCCGGGCCCAGAGGGAGGGCACTCCCCACCGCCCCAGAGCCTGTCTCTGCTGCTGTCCCACATGGTGCTCTCGCGCTCCTCATCACACCTCCTCGTCACGCCGCCTCGTCGTTTCTGGGACAGTGTCCTCCGCAGGTCTTCTCCCCTGGGCTCCACTGTCCCCCTCGGTCCAGTGTGGTCCCCGGGACTCCCTCCCCGTCAGGGCTTCTCCATCGGAACAGAGGCCGAGGAGGCACCGCCAGCCTCTGCCTGGGCCTCTTACAGGGCTTTTAACAGCCTCCGTGGACGCCAGTCTCACGCATGTGTATTTGGGAACAGAACTGGGGCCTCTCTCGTGACCGCTCTCCCCCGAGGGCAGTGGTGTCACGGCCTCTCCCCGCAGGATGAAGGTGGAGGAGCTGGAAGGGGAGCGCAGCCGCCTGGAGGAGGACAAGCGGAGGCTGGAGGAGCAGCTGGAGCACCTCACCCTGCAGGTGAGCCCGTCGGAGCTGGGCCCTCCCGTGTCCCTGCCCCACACCCCGCCTCTGGCTCAGACCTGCGCCCGCGCACGCACCACCCGCTCACCGGGAGCAGGTGTCCCAGGGCAGTGGGGAGGTTGGCCTGCTGTTCACACCGTGCACTTGCGCTGCTTTTGTCTGTCCTCCTGTGTCCATTGTCCTGTGGCAGGAGGCCTGCAGGCTACCCCCACCCAGGTCTGGACAGGCCCTCGATTTTTATCTTGACGCCTACTCGAGGCAAATCCATCCCGTTTATTGCCAATTCCTGGAGACGCGGAGGTGACAGCTGTGAGGGAGCCAGGTGCAGTGAGCGTGGCCGGGCTGTGCGCAGCGCCCAGCCTGTCAGCTCAGACCGGTCATGGGGCCGCGGCCTCGTGGAGAGCCGGCTGCTGGCAGGTGGAGCCTGGGGGCAGCAGCGCTGTCAGAGGCGCCTGGGGCCGCGTTCTGGCGTTTTCATCCTGCAGCCTGAGGTCGCTGATGGCTCCGGGCCTCCCCCGTCAGCCCTCAGTGAGTCCCGCGAAAGTCGTTCTTTTTCCTGCTCTGGACACGGGCGCCCACCGGCAGGGGGCTGCGCAGGGCAGAGGGCAGAGCCAGCACTCAGGTGGACGCGGTCTTTCCGGTGGCAGGAGGACAAGGAAACTTCACGTTGGGCTCAGGGACGGGTTCAGGTGGTGGGGATGGCGTGCAGAGTGCCGGCGGGTGGAGAGGGGCTTCATGGTGTGAGCTGGACTCGGCCCCTGGCTGCTGGTGCCAGGGCTTTGCCCTCTGAGCCCCCAGTGTGTCCTTTATGAAGTTGGGGAAGTGATGCCACCCGGGGCTGCGAGGGAGACAGGCCACACCTGCCCACCACGCCCGGCACACAGTAGATGCTCGGTAAACGCTCACGTCGTCTGTTGCCGCTTCTGCCTTTTCCGTCAAGAGGACGAGACCTCATCTCTGCCCGGGCCTGGGGGGCAGCAGGAGAGCACAACGCCCTCCAGGTGGCCTGGCCGCGCTCTGCACGCGGGAGCCCCTCGCCCCTCTGCCCCGGCTGCAGAGCTGCAGC